TCCGTACAAAACATTAGCATGAAACTCCACTCGGGTCGTTTCGGATTGATTCGACTCCAGTTCGATAGGTTACTGAGTTTAAATTATTAGGAACCAGAACAGGCACTTCGCAATGTCGTGACGCTCGAGTATTACTATTATTGTTTTTACCTCCGCCAATAAAGTTGGCAGGAGGTTTGTTTTTTTGTTTTTGTTTTTTTTTATATTTATTTTATTTAGTTATTTATTTTTCTGTCAGCATATTTGTTGTGAACAGCCTACAGCCCATAGTTTTTATCAGAAATTCGTCAAACTTGGCCACAATCGTCCTTTAAGATCTAGAGCTGATTAATTTTTTAAGGGTCAGGATCAAAGGTCAAGGTCACAATCAACAAAAAACTATTTTTTATTAATAATTAATAATTAACTATTATATATATATGCGAATACATCGCATCACTTATACCAGTGGATCAAGCGGAACCCGAGGCAGAGACGGGGGTTCCTACCAGCCTTACAACGTTTCATGGCCTACAACAAGAATCCCCACCTAAAACAGTTGAGCCCTTAGGTTCACCTCATCAATCTACATCTGATCTGAACACCACTTTCAAGCATTTGGTGGATTCCATTAGACTCCCACCAGTCAAGGTAGAGATCTTTTCTGGAGATCCATTAAAATTTCCAAGTTGGTATGCTTCCAGTGCACTTATTGAAGCAAGAGCATGTGGTACGTATGAGAAGCTTAATCTATTGGCTCAACATCTAGTGGGTGAACCTAAGATGCTCATCGCTAGTTATCTTTTACTGCAAACTGATGAAGTATATGTGCAGGCAAAGAATGAGCTCAGGAAAAGATATGGTCATTCCACTGTTGTTGCCACAGCCATGTTAACAAAACTGAATGAGTGGCCAAAGATCAATGCCAAAGATAATGTGGCATTTAGAAAGTATTCAGATTTCCTTACAGAAGTGGTTGCAGCTAAGAAAACAATTGTTGACTTGGGCGTATTAGATTACCCTCAGGAGAACACGAAGTTGGTGTCTAAGCTACCCTACCAGTTAGAGACAAAATGGAGAGCTATAGTCAGCTCCAGTATGGAATTGTCGATATTTCCAAGGTTTGAGCAGTTCTCAGACTTCGTTAAAAAGAAATCAAATGAAGCCAACATCCCCATGTTTCAGACACTTAATCTATCTCAAAGCAGTCAAGAAAGTTCAAAGAGAAGTCAACGAACATGTGCTACCTCAGTTACAGTTTGCCTTTATTGTAAGAAGACCCATGTTGTAAGAGGCTGTACCGGTTTCTCAAAGTTGAAAAATGAAGATAAGGTGAAACTGGTCATGCAGTGGAGACTCTCTTTTGGGTGCCTTCTTCAAGGACACCGATCGAAGGAATGTAGAAATAGGCTTCAGTGCGAGGTGTGTAAGGGTAAGCACCCTACAGTGCTACATTTAGACAACATACCATCAGCAGTATCAAACAAAGAGGTTGCAGAGATACAAAAACCAGTTCCTTCCTCTGCATGTAGCAATAATGATGGTGTTTGTACTATGGCCATCATTCCAGTCATAGTGAAGTCTTTAAATAATGGTAGGGCCATGCAAACATATGCCTTTTTGGATCCAGGTTCAAGCATATCATTCTGTACTGAGAAGTTGAAGACTCAACTGGGTGTGAGTGGCCGTAAAGCTCGAATTGAGATTGATACTATGGCAGATCCTTATACGCTGCAAACTCATATCATCCTAATTTGGCTGTCAGCAATTTAGATGGTGGTAGAGATATTAAACTACCAAATGTTTACACAAAGAATAGCCTGTCTGTATCTAAGGAACATATCCCTACTCAGTGTGACGTAGATGAATGGAAGCATCTAAGGGGCCGCGTGGTAGTCCGTGGATTGAAGGGGACATTGGATTGATGCTTGGTAATGCAGTTTCGGATGCATACACTCCCCTAGAGGTTATTTCAGATGAAAGTCCTGGATCACCCTATGCAACTAGGTCTATCCTAGGGTGGATTCCCTTGGCTATAATTCGACCAGGATTTACCTATACTGTTGCCACAGCCAACAGAGTGGAGTTAAGAGCTGTTGAGGAACACCAGAAGTTAACTAGATTGGTTCAAGAAGCCGCAAGGATTGACTTTCCAGAAATTGGGTCATCAGAGAAAAGGGCCTTGTCTGTGGAAGATCAAAGGTTTCTCAACTTTATTGAAGAGAATATGCAGTTCAAAGATGGACATTACATTGTTCCCTTGCCATGGAAAAATCAAAATGCAGTTCTTCCCGACAATCATAAATTAGCCCAGCGGCGATAATACTTGCTGGAAAAAAGGTTTACGCGGGATCCCGAGCTTAAACAAAGATACTCGGAGTTCATGAAGAATATGATGGCTAAGGGATACATGGAGGAGGTAGATGAAAAACGTATGTGGGCAGCAAAGCATGGTATATACCACATCATGCTGTCATAAATGAGAAAAACCCGGTAAAATCAGGGTTGTTTTTGACTGCGCAGCCAAGTATGCAGGCGTGGCACTGAATGACCTACTGCTGCAGGGTCCAGATATAAATAACACCCTGATCGGAGTTCTTATGAAATTTAGAGCAGAGAGAAGTGCCCTTACAGCCGATATTGAAAGCAT